CACCCTGGATGGTGGATTTGAGAGCTCCCTGGATGAAGCATGCCGGCCGGGACACGGGCGGGTGCTCACAGCACAGCAGCTCCCACCAAAACCAACCCCGTTAAGAGTGGTGAGTGATTGGGTGATCGTATTGCGCCGGCTGCAACCTGCGAAAGAAACGCACGCTTGCCATGATATATATGTACTACTGCTGTAGGTTGATGCTTGGAGCGGAGCGAAAACTTGGGCCGCGCGCTTGGGTTTGAATTGAACACAAAATTAAAATTCGACGATTGATGCAACGATCACAGCAGTGGCATAGCGAAAGGAACAGCTCGATGCGACGCATTGGCCCTCGTTTCCACTCGGTCGTCCTGACGCTCGACTGCCCCTATCAGTCATGGCGCATTGCGTGCCAGTCTCGTGTTTGAACGTGGCTAATGTAGACACAGCAGCAGTAGTAACACGTGCTGGCTCTCTCACTTGTTTCCGCGGTGTTGCAAGGTTGGATTTTTTTCCTCTCTCATTTTTGAAATTTCCGGACGTGTAATCTATCTCATTTTTTGGTTCTCTCCGTGGTATTGCAGCTCGTGTGAAATATTAGCTGGCTTACATGCTACCCACATGGTTCTGCTTCGTGGTATGCATGACAACAAAACCTGGCACACGCGGCATAACTTTCTTGGTTGGTTTGGTGGTACCATACACCATACCGCGAGTAGGTTGCCAGGTGGGATGGAGAAAGCTGTTGGGCACGTTTCCTCCGCACGCACGACCTACCCATTGCGCGCGGAAAAATCGGAACAATTCGGGCAACGACCACAACCCAACGCCACTCTGCTCTCATCTCCCCATGCAGCCTCGGGGATTGGACTCCCTTGTGTACACAACAATACTTCTGCTCTCTGCTCGGCTTTGTTCCCTCTGGTGGTGTAGTACCAGACCAAAGGTCTCCACAATACAACAACAGCTCCATCTGTCCAAGCCATCAAAAAGAGCCCATAAGTTCCTGCGTTCATGCATAGTCTACAATGCATGCGGAGACGAAAATGTTCCAGAGACAGACCCAGCGCCAAAAGCTATCACACCGGAAAGTCGTGTTGGACCAATCACCGCTGCTGTGTTTGACAGGTGTGACAGAAGTGTTGCGGTCGCTGTGGTGGAGTATGCACAGACAGTCGTGTTTTGGTTTCATCAGCCCGTTTTTTGTCAGATGATCATCAAC